GCGCGAAGATAAACTTTGCCGATCGCACGAAGATGTCCAGTGTCGATAATATCTTCTCTCGCATACATAGATGAAATTTACTACGATATATCAAGGTATACACGTTCTCATTTCCTAGCGACGTTGTATATCCAGCTGCATCGACGCAGCATCCTGATTTCCGGCGACGTTCAATCTGTCTTTGATCGATTTTGCCTTCGGTCTCATCATTCCGCCAGCGGATACAGAGCGTGTCATCATCGTGGTCAGAAACTCTCGTCAATTTTCAAGCTTCCTTCAACAGTTTCGAACATCTCGACTTTACTTACATTGTGAAGGTAGTGAAAGGTTTCTATTCGAAGAGGACGAAAATATGATAAATACAAGTGTTCTTAATTTTCTTAATAGTTCCTCTGATTATTCTTTCCTTCCTCCAACTTAAGAGAATAATTATCTTTGATTTTTTTGAAAGTATTATAATTTCTCTTTGATTTAAAATGATACTAAAATAATAATTTCTCTCATTCTTCCGAGTGTAAGTATTTTTGATTTTCTATCTTCTTTTTAACTATTTTTAATTATTTTTTTTTTTTTATTTCCATTTTATTGTCCATTTTAGAAATGCAGTCGTAATTAAGGCGAAGCAGTCAAAATTATTTTCCCAGTTTTTTAATAGTTATTCATTCATTTAAGTTATTCCCGACACGTAAATTTTCTAGTCATTTGAACAGAAGAGATAATAATAGTGTCATAAAAGCCTTACGAGCGCACGCCGTTTCGTTCAAAAATACTGCAGCATGGATCACGAGGTTCTGTTAACGATCTGCGAGAAGATGAATCGGTTTTTCATGCGGTTCTTTTCTATTTTGAACTTTCGGTTCCTGTTCGTAAATTTCCTCGGTCTGTCTGAAAGTGGCTGGAACCGGCGTTTCAATTTCCGGAAGTTTATCGTCTGGACGTTGCATTTTCATCGTCCGTCTCGTTCTCATCTCGTGGAACACAAAGGGATTTATTCTCTGTTGGCATTGAATTTTATGGTACAGTAGCTACGCGATACCGAGAAACTTTTACGGGCAACGGAATCATCCATGCATTCAACGTATTGGATGCAGTGGATCGTGAAGAACAAATCGTTGAACGATGAAGTTTGCCTCTCGAATCGAACACCGTTTGGTTATAAATTTCGAGTGGGAAATGATGATTCCTTGGACAGGATCGATCGTAAATCAATTTATAAGTAGAATAAAATAGGAAGAGGAATACGTCGCGCGTAATTAATGACATTAATTAGCGTAATTTTCATTTTAATCTGAATTCGCGAGGATGACGATGCTTCAAACAGGCAGAATTTCTATACACGGTGATCGTATCGATGTGTCGTATTATAAAATAATAAAGTTACTGAAAACGTGAACAGGTGAGTTAGATTAAATTGTCACATTATAATTTACATATATAATTTAATTATAATTTAATATGATTGAAACGAATATCAAGTGGTCTAATAGAAATGGAAATGTGAAAATTATAGATGGAAAAGCGCGAGATTTATGATGGAAACTAAGTGAAACAATTAAGGGTGCGGCCGGATTTTTTTCATTCCCACGACACGCACACACATACACATACACACACGCTTCTCATAATGACCACTCCCCTACGTGAGTAAATAAGCCCTCGCATACGATTAAACGTGATTTTGCATATTCTGGTTCTCGACGATTAGCGAACTACTGCTTCGTACCTATTACCGATTATTACTGCCATATTCACCGAGTTTTCTTAATTTCCTGGTTATTACATATTGGCCAAGGATTTTTTTTTTTTTTTGTAATTTTCCAGCGGACATAATTTGTCATATCAGCGGACTGAAAGACACTTTCCTTTAATAACCGAGCTTAATACACGCGGCTGTAAAAGGTGTGCTCTCGCGTTGTGCATCATCAATATTGTTTAGATAATCTGTCGGGAATATGCGTTCGATTACTTTTACATAGTATAAATTACATTAACTTTATTCAAGTCTTTCTCTAACGAGTTACCAGGTACAATTTCATTACTATTTAATTTCCTTCTTGCGATGATTTTTGTCACTTTGAAACTTTCGTTTCAATCTTTTTTTTTCTTTTTTTGCATATTTGATATCGTGTCATGTGTTTTCGATTCACAAAAGCATTACACTCGAAACTTTTTCAAAGATTAAAATTTCATTCTGCTTCAATATTTTTTTTTCTTTTTTTGTAAAATTTGTTTCAATTTCTATTTTTACTGATCCATAGCATGAACGATCAAAGTTCTTCTTTATCGAATCGTTTTTTCTGTTTCTCGTTCTTTTTAAATGTTTCTTTTTTTATTGACGTGAGAGAACGAAGTTGATTCGACTTTTTCTTCTTCGCGGGACGAAAAATCAACAGCCTTGAAATGCTTTCAGCTGATCGCTAAAGCTGACGTTGCGCCGGAAATAGAACGAACGTTCACAACGAATGCACCGTGCAAACATAACTACTCTGCAATAATATTTGCTCGTCGAACGATATGTCTAGCGAAATAAGGACCGGAAGAAATATATTGGCACGTGAGAAGATTGTCCGTTATAGAAACCATGAAACGACTATACAAATAAATCCTAGAATCCAATAGGAACTTTATTGAAAACTAAGTAAAGACGCGTACATAGCTGAATCTTCTGGAATAAAATAAATGGAACTTGATCACTTGTTTGAAATGAAAATGTATCGGTTTCTTTCTGTTTCTACATTTAATAATTTTTCCATTAATCAATATTAATCGACTATATTTATTTCACGAAGTAAATCACGAAAACCACATCTTTCTGCGTGAAAGAAATAAAAGCTGAACGTTTGTTTCCGAAAAAAAAACCCCGTAGGAAAGTTTTACATTATCAGAGATTAGTCTCACATTAGTTTTGCTTCATTCTTCTCCATCGTTATCAATATCGACAATTACACAGTTGGTGTAGTAAAAGAATTATTAAAATCATCCTTGTTAATTATCTCAATGTTCTGGCGCGTAAAAACATCGTAAATTAGTCCATCCATTAGCAAGCAAAAGCGACATTCAGCTCCTCTCCGAGTAAAACAACCCTGCCTGTTGCTCAATTTTCTCAGATCCAGCGAAATCTTTAATATCGTTCTACGCCGTATGTGAACCAGTTTAACACCGTCTTTCTAGTTTTTCCTCTTTCCGATCCTCCGTTTATCTTCTTTACCTTGGGAATCCTTGCAACAAGCATCGTTCCCTTTAGTTCGATCTTCGTCCGGTCGACAGCGATATCGAAAGAAGAAATCCAGAAACATTTACTTGCAGGATTTCTCGAGTATCGTAATTTAAATCTCCACCTCTCTCGAGTTTCTGTCTTCTTCCCTCTCGTTTTGTCGTTCTTTCTCTCTTGCTAGATCATTATTTTATGCAACCTTGGGTACTGCCAATGATCCTGTTACTCGATGGCTCGCGAAAGTATTTCAATGCTTGTGGAAATTTTTCAATGAAATATCTTGAAATTTCATTCGTTTATGTTTCTTAATCAGAATCATGATTATATTGAATATATATATATAT